TGGCTTGACACCCGTGATAATTCAGTAATTAATCATAGTTAAATGTAGCTTAATGTTACAAACCGATCAACTATTAATCTGGAATTATTCACACACTCGCCATTATCACTTTTATAATGTAAATTCTTTTGAAAATGTGGTTTAAACACTTGATTAACTATAATTTCCCACAAATCACTTGAACTTCATTCAACCATTGAGACTTTTCATGAAACTCCATTTTTATCGCTAGCGATCGTAATCGCCTCTTGATTAAATCGATTTCCGGAAAAAATGAATTAAAAAGTAACAACGACGACGCAAAAAGAAAAAGAACAAAGAGAATCATTTGCGCAATAGCAACATTTCCAGAAAGCATACAGCAGTTTTGTAATGCATCTCTCTTTCTGTCTCTCAGTCTCTCCTCGGAAGCGCCTTTTTTTTCCACAATATATACGTCGCGCGGATCTCGTGATGCTTAACGTCGCAATCACGAGTGTAGTCACGCGGGTGTCGCCTGTCATATATGGAGAAAGGCGCAGTGACTCGTGTCCTTGCCACGCGCAAATCGAAGGCTCGATGCGAAAGCTTTCGATCTATTCTCTCTTTCCCGTTGGATGACCATTTCGTCATCGAGGTACAGTCAGTCGGTCATTGTCGCGGTGCATTTTCTTCTCTTTCCTTGCTCCGACGTATTCGGACGCTAATTTCGAACGCTGCTGCATGTGCTCGGCAAGTAAGTTGTTTTTCCTGCGCCGGGTAAAAGCGAACGTTTCATCGGGAATTAGTCTTGTTTTTCTACCGTGCGACAGTCTCGCCGTTCAAAGAATTGTCAAATTAAAGCGATCGACAACGCATCTGAAATTCATACAATTGACGTTCGGTTGCGCTTTCATTGTATATTCACGCCTTGTGTTCTCACGATATACGATGTATTATGTTCTTTTATGCGAATCTCTTTCGGCAACTTCACGAGCAATTTAACGCGCAAAAATAGCTGCTTTATATATTGTACAAAACTGCTTTTTCTGGTTTTTGCGATTTTGCTTTTTTCGAGAGTAAAAGGCCAGACCCGAGTACACAATAGAATATTAAATATGCGGAAATTAATCACGATACGAAATGAGAAAATTTAAGTACTACGCTTACTATTTATCTTCACTGTAATGAATCACGTAAACTATATCAATCGTTGATTCAAGAAAATTTTTGAGCGAACGGAACTCGAGTTTTCTCCGAATCGAAAGTTTATAATCACGGAAAATCTGTACGGAAAACGACTGACAGCTTTCACGAGCAGCACTATTATGGGTTTTTCCAGCGCAATTGTTATTCTGCGTACATGTAACTTGTTTTTTTTTCCAAACACGACGACAGATCGATCCAGTTCGGTGCCTCTATGCTGCTTGCTGCATGTTTACGTAGAAGCGACACGACGTGCCTGCACGTGCGCCTTTTCTCATTTTCAAGGCGAACGTCGTTCGGCTTGCGCTATTGGAAAATCTTGCGGCGCGCTAATTGATAGCAAAGACTATTGCTTGTTGTTGTTTTTTTCCGAGTGGATAGACGAGATATGTGGGTTATTTTGTTGGCCTACGAATTATTTCTGTTTCTGCGATGATTGACGAAAGTAGGAAAGTAAGGATGCATTGTTGATTAATGTTTTTTTCGTTCTCAAAGTTGAAGAATGTAATAACTATTTTTTTGTGGGACAAAAAAATTTATTTTTTGACCGAGTGAGATGAGTTTTTACATTATTTTTCATCTCCAATAACAGCTGCAAAGAACTATTCGACTATGAACTTGGATCGAATATAATAAAAGATTTTTTTAATTAATAAAAATACTTAAAACGTTTGTAAAAATTATCCCACTATCTTGAGAAATCTGTATAGCGGATTTAGTACCTCACGGCAACCAATCGATCTATCCAGCATCAGTGAACCAATAAATGCAAAACTCCCCATTGCAAAGCCACTTCAGAGTGTTGTATGCCGGAATTCGGCTTTTTGTCCATGCCATTGTTCATTCGCAATTTAGCCGCGGTGTGTAATTAGGAGCGGAACACGCCACGCGCCTAAGGGGGATTGCATGTACCTGATATTGCTTGTAAAGTGGTCACGTTGCTGTGCACAATTTTCAAACTTGGACTGAGGCTAGTTTTGTTTAATTAATTTTGCGAAATGCCGCATCGAAAATACAGCACCCGATTTATTGCCGCGATGATAGTACACGGAAAAGATATTGATAGCGATGAAAATTGAGTCAAAGGTTATTATAAATGTGTGAAGTCCAATAAAGTATTATCATATCGGCTCACTCTCGGACTTCGCCGAGTTGTAAATAATTAGTAACATTCTACATCCAATAAAACTACAAAGTTACCACAATCGTTGCGCACTCGGCAACAAAGTTATAAATATCAGCGCTTGTATATGTGTAATTTGCAATCGTTCGTTGGAAGAAAAAGAAAAATGGAATTCGTTTTCCAAAGCGACTCTATAAACCATTCGCGCGGCCTTGCATCCTTTCATTAGTTGCACTTGCTCGCGTTTCGCAAAGTGGGATATATATCGCTCCGCTGGAAAAGGGAAGGCACGCCGTCGTCTTTGCGCGCACGTGTACAACTGCGTCGCGAGCGCGAGCCTTGAAAGGTGACTCGATTATATTGCGCACGCGAGAATATTATTTAAATCGCTTGATTATGTTGTAATTTGAGAGACTCGACTGTTGCTGCCGTATTTACGTTGCGCTGAATGACCGCGAGTTCATGCGCACTTTTCGTATGCGCCGTAAGGCGACTTAGCCGAGGGATAAAAATGCTCCGTTGACGAGGTAGTTACGAGTTTTGTTGACAGGTGGATGCGGACGACTCTCGTCGATTACAAAGCTGATTGGTGCTGCAACACATCAAAGTGTTGCAACAAATTACTCGTGATTACAAAAATGAATATCATTCTACCTGGACAAACGAATTGACATGACAGGCATGACATTACGTATCGTTAAATTTGTCCAATTCCATTCTAATTTTTTCAAAACATCCGGCGAAACATCGTAAGGAGAGGCGTCCAGCCAACCTACATATTAATGAGCAAAGGCGCTACGCATTGCCCGATATAGAACGAAGCCTCGGCGGTAAAAGAGGGGCAGAGGAAGGCTGGTAATGATCGAAAGTGCACGTGCCATGCGTTAGTAAAACCTCCGTGGGCTGTGTAAAGGTCGACGAAGGACGTATTTCTCTCTGACACTCCCTTATCAGAGATTAATAGTGTATTTCTATCAGCTTGGCTGATATGATTTTTTTCTCTTTCGTTTCTAATCGCGACTACAATAAGAAACACGTTGAATAATACGTCTGCATGGACCTGACTCGCCTATAGTTATTTATAGCACAAGTCGCTAAATCGTATACGAGGAAATTATATTTTCTTCGTCTCGTTGACTTCCAGACCTCTTATTCGGATATTGAATGCAGCTAGGTGAGACAAGCGTAAAATATTTGTATAATTTTTATATACATTCTAGAATATTTCGATTTCTAAACGTCTTTTCTCCCATATATAATAATGCTCTCCCATGGCATACTTCTGTCAGTTGAGGTATTTCACAATCGTCGTCGTTATCTCAGTAACTAATATTGTCAACACGTCTAAATTCGCCCAGAAAATCCTTATATGTCGTTATATGATCGCGCGTGAAAAAATGAGCGCTCTTGATAATTCGCACTCCGCCGACACGTGCAGCGTACATATGCAAGTCGAGTCACACCACTTCTTTTGCGTATAGTCATCTTCTTGGTATTTTTCTGCTTCCTTTCTTTTTCCTTCGTTACGCGCGTCATCCCTCATTATTTTCTCCCGGCGGAAAATATGATCAGTCGATTAATTGCCAGTTTACGATCGAGGAATGACTGCGGATTGAACGACGATCAGGTGAGCGAGGCTTTGTGTTTTGCGGTTCGATACGAATTCTAGACATATTATATTTTTTTTTATAATTCGCTTTCGGAAAAAAACACATCGTTTGTCGCTCTTTTTCTCGTACTCTGTCGAAAAAATGTATTTTCTATAACGTCACGATGAAAATTAAGAGTTTGTTTTTCACCATTAATATCTCAATTGTCACTAAAATATCACATGTGTCGTTCTCATAAGCTTAAAAAATAAATCATCAAACAAAGCGACAAAATGTGGAATCCAAAGGTTACTAAGTCAATAAACAGGCAGCTTTTTATAGTAACAACAGCGCGTGCCTCTAAATGCCAACGTTTTCCAGGCTGCGACGGCGAGAAAAACGCACACGTGCGTGCCGTGACCCACGTCGCGTCGCATGCAGCATCCTTAATTGCAATTACGCGCTTTGTTGCTCAAAGTTCTATTATTGTTTCTTCTCTTCTCTTTCTACTGGCATTGCGTAATAAGGGTGTGCGAGGATTATCTGAAAGTTTTCCGGAAGGGATACGATGTTTTTGTCTGCTTCATCATCTACGTGGTAGATGTGATCTTCCTAGTGGGAGATAGAGCATTGGCTTTTCTGAAACGCAATTATCTGGCAACTGTTTCTATTATTTCCTTTCCATTTTATTAGAATTGCAATGTAAATATTACGAATGATTGATTCGTGAGTATGCCTTTTCACGAACTGCCACTTGTAAAAATTGATTGATATTTATCTGTAATTGCAACTGCACATTGTATCATGTATCTTACTTAATTGCTTTTAAAATCTTTTTTTTCAATTAACGGCAAAATAGAATTTTCTTTGAATACGAAATGCTACTGGAATCGATTGAAAAATGCTATTACTTATATCCTTTGTCATTCAAACTTTCAAAAGACATTTGATTGCCGAACAGGATGCGCGCATTAGCTAAAAGTTGCGCATGACATAAATGATTTTTTTTTTACGTAAGTCTTTTCATGCATTATATAAATTAAAATATGCGTTATTGCACCACATACTTTCGCTTTGTGCAAATCTGTCGATGCATTCTAATGACGCATTGTCTCTTGTTTCAGTTTGGATGGTAGATCATGTAAAGACGAGATATACAGGATGAGCCTTGGTGCCGGATACTGTGAGGGCAATCTCAATTTCGCAACAGCCTCCGAGGATGACGAAGTTTATATTAAGAAGAAAGTTTCCAGGGTGAGTGTCGCTTTTGTTGCTTCACTATCGATTCTTTATTATTTTTATCGATCGTGAGATATTTTAGCAAGCGGTTCTCGTTTATTTCCTCGTGGAGGTGAGGTGCAGATTCATTAGCATGTTATTGGAGTGATGACATACAAGACTTTGTATTGTACTAATAATAGGAGGAGAAGTTTTATGTTTCAATGAGTTTGCGTTTCTTTCACCAATGTGCTTGATTTTAGTATTTTTTTTATCTTTTAGCGATATTTTGGAATTGAATGAAATTATCAACGCGCTTTGAAATAAAGGTCCGTAAGACATGGTATTGTAAAAAAGGTCAATCTGTATACACTTTAATACGAGATGCACCGATCAATTGAGACAACGTATCTCCCTCGTCGACTGATCATTGCACAAGATTAATCCGGAAAAATGTATGCCAACCGAACTTCAATATACTACGTGTGACCAGCAAATACAACCTACAATCTTCATCGAATTTCCAGTCGATTTAGACCAAAGCCGCAACGAAATTGCATTTTCACACGGTCACGAAAATCCCAACCGTACCTGCCGAGTAAAAGACGAAATTTGGAAACACCTATCGTCGCTGTCCTAACGCTTGTCTGTGAGCAACGAAAAAAGAATGCGTCGGCGCACGTGCTCATTGTCTTTCCTACTTTGAAACACGCGCTTAGAATTTAGGCCACTCGAAACGCACACGCTCACGCATAGCGAGAGGCTTTTCCGCGTTGACATCGCAGACTCTGATGCAATATGCCAACCCGTCGAGTTTCTCCTGCGTGAATATGCAGTTCGCGCGATGGCGATGATTGCGTTGCGCGCTCGCTTGGCGTGAGCAGGTGAGACAAACTTTGGGTTCTTTTTCTCTATGCGGAGTTTGTCTTTATTCTAACGCTTGTTATTCTTAGAATAAAGATTGATGGAATGACTAGTTTTGTCTTTAGTTTCGAAACCCGTCTTCTATTTCTTTTTATTCGTTAGTTTCCTCATTGAGAATCAAAAGTCACACTGCAGTTTTCATAGTTTTAGATATGAGGATAACTCTAATAAATGTTTCCTCGAGCATTTTTTTATGGTTTATATAATGAGTGATTATTTTTACATCATATATGAGGAAAATATTTACATGAATTATGAGCAATGAACATTGTAGTTTTATTATAATTTGTTTTTGGATCAAATTTAATTTTTCTTTCTTGACATTGCTTCTAACCATTCAGTTTATTCTGGACCGAAAAATAGTAAAAAAATCCACTCATTAGCATAAACATAATATAACAACCATTCACAATTTTATGTTTTTGGTTTATTTACGAAAAAAAGTTATGACCGTACGTTTAAACAAAAAAATTCTTACTGTGCTCGCAAAAACTGCTGAGTCCCAAAAGTATCGAATTCGAGACGAAAATGTATACGTTAAGCTCGAAGTCAATCGTTGTACCTATATAGCTACGCGTCGCGTGTGCTGCACGTGTGCAAAAATCGGCGGCCGGAAACTCGCGCGACCGAGATTTATATCGGTCGCTCGTGTGCTGAGAATAGCATAAGCTAACGCTGTCGTCATGATTGTTATTAACGAGGAAAATTGTTGCGAATCGTCGGCGCTTTTCATTATTGGCCTTTGCATTACACGTTTCTTAAACGTAACTGTTTCCTGCTGCCGAAAAATTAAATATACGAATTGTTTCGTGTAAATTATTTGATTTGAATAATTCGGTTCAATGTAATCTTTTCGTGAAAAAACCAATCAAACTCAGGGCTTTCCTTTCGCTTCTGTCCTTTCTAGAAAAACATTTTATGAAAATCACAGTTTTATCAATATAAAGAATGGAATCTCGGGCACTATACGTCAATGAATTAATCTCATAATAATCTTCTTAGTCAGTAACATAATCGATCTGACAGAAAAATCTGGATTATTGATATGCGTCTGCTCGCATATTTATATCCTACACACCGTTACCTGTTGGACTCTCGTTCTCACATTTGTTCAACTCGCTGCAGAGTCGATTTCACTCGATTACATTTATCCTTGTGTATTTTGGCTGTAGACGCCATAATCTTAGATTAATTCTCATTTTGAATCGATTACAAATTTTTCCTTTCTGCACTTCCTGTTTGCAAGTTCATTGTGTCGTGATTTCAAGGAAGTGCTAAATATGAAAATCACTTGCTGCTCTTCTTTTTACATCACTGCGCTTTGTTTTCGTGCTATGTGCATACGTTATTAAAAGAAAAATAAACTCGATGTTAGACATGTAAACATGGAATCGGAAGTGATTATACTCGATATTTTGATATGTTTTTTGTTCACTCAAAATCCTCCTGATAAAACCCTATTGATGGTAAAGAATTTTCGTTTCGAATAATAGGATATATGAATCTTCTTGTCACAAGAGAATTGGATTATCCTCCTGAGACGAGAGAACTTGCTTTCCCACTGTTGGGAAATCTCAATATAACACTGACAGTTTATATATCTATTTTGTTCAGCACGCAATGTGTGTTTGTATAACTCTGGGTATTTATTTTAATCGACGACAATTAAACATTCAAATGGTAAATTTATTGTCATTGTGACTTTTTTAGAAATAAAATATTCTTTGTTCCACTGTATTGACTTAAGTATAATTTTTTAACAAACTTATTTTTATCGTTCACAAGTTCGTTCACGTGGATATTATTATTATTTTGATGATTCATATTTTATTTTTGACTCATGGTAAAATACTAAGTATAGATTTCACCAAATTAGAAGTTTATAAAGAATGATTCAATTTGATGGATATTTACTACTCAATTTGTTTTTGAAAAGATGGATTTTTTAAAATCTAACCTTATTAGAAAAAATATGAATGAATAAAATTTGACGTTTGTTGGAAATGTAATAAATAAAATATTTTCATTCGACTGATATTTAAAAATAATCATTATACCTAGTAAAAATATGGTCATAATAAAGCAGTGTGTCACACGGCCTAGCGGCTAAAAATAGATGTTAAAAATAATATCACTCATATCAACGTCAATTATATGCAATTACGAACGAAAAACACTAAAAATGAGGCAGCGCGTGCATCAGCAGCAACGCGATAGTTATATAGGAATATATAAACATTATGTGCGGCTCGACGGCATGAGCTGTTATCTAAAACATGGCACGTTTCGTCAAATGTGATCGCGGCGAGGTGTGTGTACGTGCAACTCGTCTCTCTATATTTTTTCCAAACGCTTATGTGACTCCTCTAATGTCTTCTCTTCGTGACTTGTCTAAACTCGTTTTTACGAATTGACCGGACAAATAGAACTAAAATAGCTGAACACATGACCTTGAACTATATCGATCTCTTGACGCGGTTTTTTTCGTCAGATTGTGTTCGACAAATGGACAAACGGATATTCACGTACTGAGCTGGCAACTTTTTTTTGTCGATTGAATGACCCGATTTCGAAAGTACTACGACGATGAGTCGTCAGAATTACATACTTACGTGTCACGCGTGCGGAACTGTTAAAATAAAACTTTTTTTTCATGTGACTTTAATTCGATTTCGAATGTTTGGATTCTTTTTTAAATCTATTTTTTTTACCAACAGATTAACACTACATTGCGTTTTCAAAAATTAAGATTCTTCGTGAATCTATAAGGTCTTTCAGTCGATTAATCTTTCTCATCGATTGAGCAACAAAAATTAATACTCCGTACATGTACTTTATTTCTTTTGGATGTCACGCGAGGGACATTTAATGATATCTCGTAATTCTCCGTAGTACACACAATTTAGAAAGCACTTTCGCGAAAGAATAGTAAGTACGCGCGGTGCTTCGTCACGTGAGTTGAGTTGGGAAAATTGTGAACGCATAATCGTTCAGTGAAACTTTCCTCTATTTGTCATGAATGCCGCGGTCGTTTCGCCTGCAGCGATTGCTAAGTCAGGCACGCGTTATGCGTTGGATGGATATTTTGTACATTTTTTTCCTACATTGGATGTCCTGCGAAATGGTTATTGCATTCGACGAAGAAAGTATTCTGCGCTCCCGGGATATATGCATGAAAAGTTATTGGTCGCAAGTGATTATTTTTGCCATATGAGTTCCAAACTGAATTCGTTTACAGACAGGAAACATTTATTCATATTAATGTTTCAATATACTAATGTAAAAATGCACTTTCTTGAAATAATGTTCACGAGCAATTAAATGAAAAGTAGATCGAAGAAAAAATTTTCCAGAGAGAAAGTGTACAGTTGCTGTGCATGCGACCAGATAACGTCACCACGTAATCGTCAATCAATTGACAAGAAATATTTAATTTATGACCAATCGATTGAAACGATTTTTCAGACGATCGAATGTAATTGATAAATTTTATTTTTTCAAATAAAAATTCTTCAAGTAAAAATCCAAATCAAACGTTAAAATTTAATCGCACAAGTTAAACCGCACCCGTTGGCGCTATCTGAACCCGAATCCAGCACGTGATGTCGAAATTCAATTCGTAAAAAAATCCCGCTGGCGTCATCTTCGCATCACGATACGAACTTTACGAGGTCGATAAGTCAATACACACACGGATTACTTATTTTTTTCACTTCTCTTTGTTTCCTTTTTTTTTTTTGGTCACGGCTGTCATTTATTCGAAGGTTGTGGCCTACTAATTTCGCAGAGTGTACATATACACGTATATATTCGATTGTTTGAACAAGGATTCATTGTTTCCTGTCGTATTTTCAAGGCTTTTATTACCTTTCTACGCTAATTTATCCATTTCGGTGAGCCTGCGAACTTTTGAGAACCATGAACTTTTCTCTACTGATTAGATTTTTCCATGGTTGGCGTAACTTTTTGTTAAATATATACAACCTCATTTGCTATATAAAATGCGCATGCAATTACTTTCGTTTACAGAAATATTGATTGTGTTTGATAAGAGGTCATGAGACAAGTTACTTTAAATACGTTTTCGTTGTCAGTTAATTGGTCATTGTTTC